AATTGCAAAATAGACAGAGGATATGAACAGACACTTCACCAAAGAAGACATTCAGATGGCTAACAAACACATAAAGAAGTGTTCAAAACCCCTAGCTCTAAGAGAGAAGCAAATCAAAACAACTATGAGATATCATCTCACCCCAAAATTCAACAGAGCAGCAAACAACAAATGCTGGCGAGGTTGTGGAGAAACTGCAACCACTATGGAAGGCAGTATGGCACTTTCTCAAAAAGTTGAAAATAGAAATACCATTTGACCCAGCAATTCCTTTACTGAGAATATACCCTAAAGAAACAGAACTGCCATTCAAGTAGATATATGCCCACACATGTTTATTGCTGCTTTGTTCATTATAGCAAAGAGTTGGAAACAACGCAAGTGCCCATCAACAAGCAAATGGATAGAGAAGCTCTGGTATATTCACACAGTGGAATATTACGCTGCATTGAAAAACAAGGAACTCATCAATTATTCAAAATGGGTGACATTATGCTGAATGAAATATCTCAGTCACAAAAGGGCAAATACTGCATAGTGCCAGTGTTATAAAATGGGACTGACCTTAGGGTTGGGGTGAACCTAAGAAAAGAAGGACAAATAATGTATGGTGCATTGAAACAGATGAGAGAGAACTGTTTAAAAGGAATATATTATTAGGTATTATTCTCGTGATAAGATTCCAGAAAAACAAATGTATACTGAAGTGGACTATATGGACTTGGGTGGGGGGAGGGGTGTGGGGGGGATTGTATAACAATGAAAGAATTTTTTTTCTTTTCAAAGAGAAAAATGAACAGGGAGGGATGGGCAGGGAGGAAAATGTGCAAAAGGGAATGAATGAGAAACAAATTAAATGGGAAGAATATACTGTAAAAATGTATCTTGAATATAAAAAAGTATTTATTGCAAACACTTTTTTATAAGAAACATAAACACAAGATTTTAATCTCTAAAACAAAAAAAAATAATAAAACACAGTTAAACTTCATACTGGTATGCTACACTTTTAGCCAAGATGCATCTGGCATTCAACAATGATATCCCTCTTTCTGCACTGCTTTCTGTATCTATTTGAAATTCTAGACTAGTTATCTGTCTCTGTATTTTCTCACTTAATTATTTTCAGCAAAATTTTACTGCCGTGTGATATTAATGATATCATCTGATTATTTCCACATACTGTTGGATCACCTTGATTTAGAATGAAAGCAAGTATGGATCTCTTCCAGTAAATAAGTAGCAGTCTTCCAAAGTTTTTTCCTTAAGTTGAATGAGTGCTTCCACCATTAATTCCATTTGTTGAAACATCTCAGTTGATATCCTGTAAATTCCTGGAGTCCTATTTTCTTTCACTTCTTTCCACTGTAACGTGAGCTTCTTCCTTTGATACCACCAATTCATATGCTTCCTCCTGAAATGGTGCAAGGACTCTCTGTATTCCTTCCATCTTCTTTTAACAGTTCCTGTGTCCTTCAATATTACAACTCCAAGTTAGAATGTTTTCTTCAGTTTTATCATCTTAAAAATTGTTCATGTTTTACCCTTTCCATTTTCGAAATGCAGTTCATTGTACATTTTATAATAACTATTTATCTTCCACTACAAGCTTTGTTCTTGTTGTTCTTGTCAGGTACCATCGAGTCAAGTATGAGCCATAATGATCCTATGAACAGATCTAAACCCTGTCCTATGCTGTAACATCCTCACACTTCCTGACACATTAGATCTCATTGTGACAGTCTCATTGTGACCACCTGGTTGAGGGTCTTCCATTCCTTCACCCTCCTCTGCCTTTCCAAGCATGATGACCCTTTCAAAGAAATAGCCTCTCTGGCAATATGCCCAAAGTATGTCAGAAGAAGAAGCTTTATCATCTTTGCTTCTAAGGACCACTCTGGCTGCACTTTTTCTAAGACATATTTATTTGTACATTTGGCAGTCCATGGGATGCTCAGTGCTCTTCTCCAACACCACAGCTCAAAGGCATCAATTATTTTTCTGTCATCCTTATATATTTTCCAGTTCTCATATGCTTAGCAAGTGATCAGAGAGACCATGACCTGAATCAAATGCACCTTAATCCTCAAAGTGACATAATTGTTCCTCAATAATTTGGAGAAATGTCTGACTGCAGACTTTCCCAGCGCAATACATCTCCTGATTTCTTGATTGCTGGTACCAAGGGTGTTGATTGTGGATCCAAGTAAGACGAAGTTGAATTTCAATCTTTTCTCCATCTATCATGATATTGTCTATCATTCCAATGGTAAAATTTTTGTTTTCTTGACGTTGCAGTGCAATCCATATTAGTCTATATGTTTAGACTACTTGCTTTACTGGTGGGAGAAATAATGAAATAAAAGATAAAAACAGTGTATTTCAAAGGGCAGTTCAAGAAGACAAAGCATTATAATAAAATAGGCGAAGCCCTATAATTTTATGTTATTTTTCTTTCATATCTTCTTTTTTCCTTTCTTTTTTTTTTCTTTCCTATCTTCTTAATGAACTTTTGCTTTATTCATCCTTGACGTCATCCCACCATTCATGTTCTCTGTAGTCCTTAGTGTTCAGTGAGTCAAATATCTGGAACTGTCTCACAAATCACACTTTGATTCAGTTAGATCTTCAGGACATTGGGTATATACATTTAGAGATAATGGCACATGGTGGGCATGAGACCTGAGAAGCACCAGCAGTACTCTTAAATAAGTGACACTCCATTGGGTTCTGGTGCCTGCAAATCTTTACAGAGAAGACTGCTTTACCTCTTCATTGCCTAGTGACTGTTGTCAACCAATAGGTGAACAACACAATATGTTACCTCCTACCACAGCTGGGCTCCAAATAATTCTAATTTATTATTCTAATTATTATTATAATAATAATTCTGAACACAGAGAGATCATTCTTAGGTTTTAAAGAATGGAAAATTCATACCTATAGAGAAAATATGGAAAGTTCTGTGAAAAGTTAAATGTCTAATCTGTCTAGTGAAGAAAGTGATCAACAACCAATAATAGGGGAAAAAGTTTCCGAGGAGAGAATTGCATGAGCAGAGACACAAGTTTGGCATGTTGTGGAGCTGGGAGTGAAAAATAGTAGTGAAGGAAGGTGCAACAAACTTGATCTCCTGGCAAGCCTGTAGTTCACCTTAAGGTGGTATAGTATGGAAAAAGGATTGGTGGTTTGAGGTTGAGGGTAGACAAAAGTGGGAGAAAATGAAGACTTTGTGACTTGTAAACAGAAAGGGGTGGTGTACAATCCTCTGGCTATCTAGGGCATGGTGGAGGAGTCTAAAAGAAGAACATCTAAGGAAAACTGAAGACTCATTTCATCTACCTCATTCTTTGGCTAAGAAAAAGGCCTAATCAAATAGACTTGGACCTAGGTTCTATGTCTCCATTTGCCAGCATAAAGAGCCAAAGACAAGCAAGGTTCTTCTTGAAGATGTGTGTTATTCCCCGAAGACTCTTTTAGGAAAAGCAAATAGCCTGAGAAATATTTGCTCATTAGAAAGATTCTGGCAAAATCAGAGAAATCTAGAATGTACTGGGCACACACACCTAACACACTTGATTCCTGAAACACTTGTGATTTAATGTTTCTGTATTAACTCTCACTATTAAGGCCCTCTTGCTCTCCACAATGAATGTTTTGGAAAAAACCAACCTGAATATATATATAAAATATTATAACATGGTGATAAAGATTGAGTCCAAAACATTCTTACAGAAAATTTTAACAGCTTAATTCCTCTTTACAGCTTTAAGTAAGACAATTTTGTTTTGTCTCCCCCCATACTTTATTGCCCTAAAGAAGGTAAGTACTCTCTAGAGCCATGCTTGATTCAAGAACATCTTGGCTGCTGGTTCTGAAAAGCTATATGACACTCTTCTGCAATCTGGTGCTGATACATTCCACATGTAACCTCAATGGTCCTGGAAAAGAAACCTCCCTGCTGAATCAGAAGGCTTTATGGAGATGCAAAAATTACAGACAACTCATGTCTTTGAAAAAGTGCTGATGTACTTATTAGAAGTGAGACAGTTCCCTCTCCCTCCAAATGGAAACTGATGCTTTCCCAGTGAGAAGTATGGGTCACCTAAGGCAGGATAACTTGTCATGCGAGAGCACAGCTCCATTAAGGTCATCATCACTTCCTGGCATGCTACCCTGTCTATAACCTCACTCCCACCTTGGCTCTTTCAACAGCAGATGGGTTTGGTTAGGACTGTGTGTCATCCAAAGCCAACCCCCTAGGTTCCAAATATACTGTGTGAACAGCAAAACACATCCTAGGAGTTTTCACAGCTAGGAGCAGAGTCAAAGAGACCTCAGAAAATGAACAGGTCAAGGCGGTAGGAGGGGGCAGTAAATAATTGTGGCAAATGATACAGGAAACTCCCTTTTCCCACTTGGAGCAAAACTGACAATTTAAACATGGCTAGCTTTCACGTTAGCTTCAGACTCTGGGAGTCAAAACATGAGAAGAAACAATATCCTCCGTATCACATGTGAGACTGTGTTGGGAGGGCCAAGTCAGCTGTGCTGGCTTAGTGATAGAGAAAAATTAAATAATGTCTCCACAGGTAAGTCCGTTTCATGTGCTCCTTATTATGAATGGTGACCCTAGATTCTGGCATCCTTAGCCCAAAGAATAATGTCTGTTGTTTCTGGATGTGTATGAAGAGATAGAAAGTGTTACACACAGCTAGCTCTCAACATCCTATAAATTTTAATGTTGCAGCTCATTTGTCCTAGTGGAGAAACCCAAAAGTATATGAGGCAGGGGCAGAGAGAGAGAGGACAGGGTGCTGCATTGTTCTCATGTGTTAACATGTCATTTCTAAAGTGGTTTCTGATCGACTCAGCGTGCAGCTGGCAGTCTTGGTCTCAGGTGCCAGTTGAATCATCCTCAGACTCATCAATAATGGACGAGTCGAGCAGAAGCTGCATCACAGGCCTTTGTCTTCCACTGTAAGTAGCTGAAGGGAGACATGGATCTCTCTGTTTTGCCAAATAATAACCATCCTGACAAATTCCTGCAGTTAGAGGTGAAGTCTTTGATGAGGAGCTCAGCCCGCCTTCAGGCCAACCTGGCCAGATTTCCAGGTGGAAATTATCCTGCTGCTCAGCACTGGCAGAACCTAGTCTACTCACAGGTGAGACCCGGGACACGGAATAATGGGGACCTGGGCTTATTTCATCCGTGCTGTCCACCATTTCGTTGTCTGTGTAAAAGAAAAAGACAAGGAACAGAGTACGAGGCTGTGGCTCACTCACCAAAGAGAAGGCTGGTCTCTCTTGATAAAGCAAGCATCTCTCTAATTTGTGCAAATTCGCCCACTTGTCCATTTCCTTCCAAATATCAGTTTCTCTTTTCTGTCCTTCCTCCTCCCCACCACGATTTCACTTCTTCTCTTTGCAAGTATTCAAATGAGCTACGTGTTTCATTTGTAAATGAAGCTTTATGAAGTCCCCGGAATGCAACACAAAACACCTTAACAGCCCTACCTCTGCGCTTTGGTGTGATGTAAACATCATGGAAAGCTCAGATACAAATTTCTCTAGCTCAAGACCTTGTATGCCTTTGCCTCACCAAAAGCAGGGACCTTTCCTTTCTTGCAGACATTCAGACAGAAGAACAATGGAAACCTAGTAATTGCATCTTGACTAAACGAAAATGCAAGGAACTCTCCACTCAGGAGAAGTGCTGCTTAATTTTATCCTCAGATACTCTTACTTGCCCCAGGTGTCCAAATGGACAAGCCATCTCAATCAGACCCCTAAATCCATGCAAGGTTTTTTTCTTGTCTTCTTTGGCCCTTTTTTCTTTTTCTGTTGACCAAAAGAGCAGAAAGAATAAAACTGTGATGAGTTCCATGTGCTGGAATGAACAGAAAGGCCCTGACTATGGCATCCCTCAGGAAACAGGAATAATCTTTGTTCTAAGGCGAGAGGGCTAATGGGGTTAGGGGTTAGTCAATTTAGAAACAGGAAGAAGCATTTCATTTCAGAACAGATGTGACTGACCTACAAACCCCTGCAAGTCATTAAATCCTTTGGAGTGGTTCAAATTCCCTCGATAGAAATTTGTTTTCTTTTAAGAAACAGTTGCTACTCATGAAGCCTGGTGTAAAGCGGCTCCTCTGTGCTGTATTTGTGGGCTCCTCGGGACCTTTACCATGAGATCATTGCTAATCAAGTACATTCAAATGATTATGTAAGTGCTTCCTCCACCTATAAGGATTTTAATTTATTTCCATTGTGAGGCAGCCTATTATGACAACTGCTTTATTAGCCCCTCCAAACTTTGCTTCTTTCTTATTTGCAGCCCTCGAATTTTTCAGCTCTTTCACATACACTGGTTTTGTTGTTTGTGGTCAGTTCAGTTTTAAGTTAAATGACAAGGCATTTCTCGATTTATTATTTATGGAAGAATAAAAAGATTTAAAAGTCAATTCAAAAAACCTTGGCCTTCCTATGCTGCAAAGTTGAGTCTAAGAAAACATAACCCATAAATTCTTTTGAGACTGGAACACAGTGCTCTAACATCTTTGGTGTCCTACTGCAGTCAACCTATTTCCTTCATGTGGAACTTAAGCTTAAATCTCTTGAATATTGTCCTTAAACCTGTATATTGCTTCCGTTGTGTGCCTTTGGGTCAGAACCAACTCATAACCTGACCCTCCAGTGGGTTTTCAGAGCAGTAAATTGGAAGGAGGAGGTTAGCTATCTTTCTCCCACACAGAAAGATGGGCAATCTCCTTCTTGAGAATTAAAATCTCAAAAACCCCATTTTTTTCCTTTTATTTTGAAACCTGTGAGCTTCAGATAAAATTCTTTCTCCTCCTTCCTTTCCCCCTTTTCCTTCCCTTCCCCACTACTCTTCCTCCCTTTCTCCTCCTACTCTCTTTTGTCTTCTCTCCTTCTTCTTATGCCTACGTGCCTTTGGGGATGGCAGTGCAGCCCAAAGTATCTGTCTGATTGGTTGAAATAGTTCTTCTAAGACGAAACAGTGAAAATATACTTTATGCGTCTTTGTGTATTTGTTAATTGATGGTTGTAATTTCAAATAAACTTGCTTAGATACCCTATACACTAGAACTCAATAGCTCAACTCATTGCCATCGAGGTGGAATCAACGCATAACTGACCCTCCAGCAGTTTTCAGGAGGCTGTAAATTACACGGAAGGAGATGGCCATCTTATGCCCTTCGAGCTGCTGGTGGCTCCAAACTGCCACAGAGGTATCACCTTTTGGCTAGTAATACAATTCCCTATACAATTGACTATGTCAGCAAAGCTTCTAGTAGAGTACAAAAAATGTGAATTGCTAATTTAGTATATAAATTATGCATGGGAGTAGTAAATCAGTCACAGATTCAGTAGTCTGGTAGGTATGACACAAACTACAAGTACAATTAATTCTATTCACTGCTTCAGATTGTTATTTAAATAATTATTCTAGTCTTGTTGTTTGTCAGATGAGACTCTGAGTATTGCATTAGAGTGCCAAGAAGCCAAAGCTAAAGGAAGAAATCAAAGAGCTGAACAGAAAATTTCAAAAGGCAGCTCGGGACAACAAAGCAAGATACTATAATGAAATGTGCAGAGAGCTGGAGTTAGAAAATCAAAAGGGTCGGACTTGCTCAGTGTTTCTTAAGCTGAAGGAGTTAAAAAAACAAATTGAAGCCACGGATGGCAATACTTAAATATAGTTTGGGTAGAATGTTGAATGATCCAGGATGTATAAAAAGAAGATGAAAGGAGTACACAGAGTCATTGTATCAGAAGGAATTGGCTGACACAGAGAAATTTAATGAAATAACATATGAGCAAGAACCTATGGTGATGAAGGAGGAAGTTCAAGTTGCTATGAAGGAATTGGCAAAAAATAAGGCTCCAGGAGTTGACAGCGTACCAATTGATTTATTTCAACAAACAGACGCTGCCCTGGATGTGCTCACTAAGTTGTGCCAGGAAATCTGGAGGACAGCCAGCTGGCCAACTGACTGGAAGAGATCGGTATTTGTTCCCATTCCAAAGAAAGGTGACCCAACAGAGTGTGGAAATTATCCAACAATATCACTGATATCACATGCAAGCGAGATTCTGCTGAAAATTATTCCAAAACATTTGGAACAATGTGTCAACAGAGAACTGCCTGCCAGATGTGCAGGCTGGATTTAGAAGAGGTCATGGTACTAGGGATATTATAGCTAATGTAAGATGGATCTTGGCAGAAAGCAAAGAAGACCAGAAGAATGTCTATCTGTGCTTCATTGACTATGCAAAGGCTTTTGACTGTGTGGATCACAACAAGCTGTGGCTGACTCTGAGAAGAATGGGAATCCCAGAACATTTGATCGTGCTTTGGACCAAGAGGCAGTCGTCAGAGCAGAGCCGGGAGTCACTGGATGGTTCAAAATCAAGAAAGGGGTCTGTGAGGGATCTATTTTGTCTCCATAGCTTTTCAGTCTGTATGCAGAACAGATCATACGAGATGCTGGGCTGTACGAGGAGGAACATGGCATCAGGATTGGTGGAAGAATCGTCAACAACCTGCGTTATGCAGATGACACAACCCTGCTCACTGAAACTGAGGAGGACCTGAAGTGCTTGCTACAGAAGGTCAAGGACTGCAGTCTTCAACATGATTGAAGCTCAATATCAAGAAAACAAAGATTCTCACCACTGGGCCAATTGGCAGCATCAGTATGGATGGTGAAGAAATTGAGGTAATTAACAGTTTTAGTTTGCTTGAGTCCACAGTCAACACTCTTGGTAACAGCAGCCAGGAAATCAGGAGATGAATTGCATTGGGAAAGTCAGCTGTGAGGGACCTCTCAAGAGTACTGAAGAGCAATCACGTCAGGCTGGAGACTAAAGTGTGCCTGATTCAGGCTATAGTCTTTGCAATTATGTGCTATACATCAGAGAGTTGGACAGTGAATAGGGATGATAGAAAGAGAATTGATGTCGTTGAGTGGTGGTGCTGGAGAAGAGTGTTGAATATACCATAGACGCTAGGAGAACAAACAGGTTCGTCCTGGAGAGGGTGAAACCAGAATGTTCCCTGGAGCTAAGGATTCTGAAGCTTCATCTGACATACTTTGGGCGTGTTGCAAGGAGGGACTGGTCCTTGGAGAGGGATGTCATGTTTGGAAGAGTGGAGGGACGGTGCAGGTGAGGAAGACCCTCGATGAGATGGATCGATTCTGTGAGTGGAGTGGTGGGAATGAGTGTGTTTGAGACGGTGAGGTTGGCACAGGATAGAACGGCGTTTAGGGCTCTTGTACATAGAGTCACTATGAGTCACAAATGACTCGATGGCACATAACAACAACAACAACAACAACAACAACAACAACTTGTTGTTTGTGCCCTACAGTCAAAACCATCCCATACCTGACTCACTAGTGGGTTTTCAGAGGCAGTTTTTTGCACGGGAGGAAATTGCTCAATCTTACCTGGCAAAGCAACTGGTAGATGTGTAACACATGCCTTTGTGATTATAGCACAGCTTGTTACCACTAGGCCATCAGTACTGGATTTTTAAATATAGACCTTAAATAAGGGAGCATATGAAATTTGTAAAAAGTTTGCAATGATAGCTGAAAAAAACAACAACAACAACCCACTACATTCACCAGATGTTACATTTTAGAGTGACTGATATAAAATAGTTCTTAATTAAAAGGTAATGGGGAAAGTGTGGAATAAGACATAAAATGTTTACTTTCTTCTCTCAGATCCCTAATACTTTGAGACATGTAGCATGACCCTTAACCAGTCCATGGCACAGTATTCCCATTTCCAAAATGAGGATACTATTAATCTTATATATTTCCTTAAAAATGAATGGGGAGATGAAGAACAAAATTAGAGAAAAGCTGTTAATAGCAAAGATCTGAACCCTGTCCTATCCTGTATCATCCTCACCATCTATGACACACTCAAGTGCATTGCTGTAGTCACTGTGTCCGTTCACCTGGTTGAGAGTCTTCCTCTCCTTCACTGTCACTCCACCTTTCCAGGCGTGATGTCCCTCTCCATGGATAACTTGTCCTAGCAACATACTCAAAGTCTGTGTTATAAATGGGAAGATCTCTTGCTCCATCCATCTGACAGGTTAGTTTAGAATGGTCCTGGGTTCTGA